AGGCAAAGGAAGAGCAGGGATGCCATATGGTGACAGAGAAAGCAAGAGAGATAAGCAGTGGTGCCAGGCTGTTTTAAGTAATCAGTTCTTGAGTGAACTAATAAAGTAAGAACTTACTACCACGAGACCAGCACTGAGCCATTCATAAGGAATCTACCCCTATGTTTTAGTTATCTTCTATTAGACCCCATCTCTAACACTGAAAAGAACATTTCAACATGAGATTTGGAGAGGACAACAATACAAACCATATGAGGGTCCCTGTTGAATCTGTAGATTATTTTGAATAGTATGACTGTCTTAAACCATATTAAATCTTCTAATTAATAAATATAGAATGTCATTCCATTCCATTTATTTGTGTATTCTTTAATTTCTTTCATCAGTGTTTTGTAATTTACAATGTACAGTGTTTAGCTTCCTTGGTTAAGTTTATTTATAAGTATTTTATTTTTTAATGTTATTTTACATGGAACTGTTACCTTTTCCCCTTTGGGATTATTTATTTGTATTATATAGAAACATAGCAGATTTATATCTATGTTAATTTTGCCTTATACAAATTTTTAAAGTTCATTTATTAGCTACAACTTTTTTGTTTGTGTGTGGAATCTTTGGAATCTCTTTATCCATTCAACTAATATATGTGTTTTAATTGGGAAGTTTAACCCATTTACATTTAAAGTAATTATTGATAAATTTCACTTGATTGTACTTTATGACTCATTCCTGGAATGTAAAGATGGTTCAACATATGCAAATCAATAAACATGATACACCGAATGCAGAATTCAAGATAAATATCACATATTTCAACAGATGCAGAAAAAGCACTTGACAAAAGTCAAGTCCTTACATAATAAAAATGCCTAACAAACTAGGCATAGTAGGTATATACCATAACTAAATAAAGACCATCTTTGACACACTTACAACTAACATTCTCATGGTGAAAAAATAGAAGCTTTTCTTTTAAGATCAAGAATAAAATCAGGATTTTTACTCTCACTACTTCTTTTGAACATAGTACTAAAATTCCTAGCCAGAATGATTAGGCAGGACACAAAATAAAAGAAATTTAAGTTAGAAGGGAAGAAGTGAAATTGTTTCTATATTCAGTTGACATAATTTTATATGTAGATAACCCTAACGATTCCACAAAATAACTGCAAGAACTATTAAACAAATTCAGTAAAGTTTCAATATACAAAATCAACATTCAATTGCATTTCTATGTACTAACAATTAACCATCTAAAGAGAAAATTAAGAAACAGCGTTATTTACAATAACATGAAGAAGAATAAAATCCTTAGGAATAAACATAACCAAAAAGGCAAAAATCTTAAACACTGAAAGCTACAAAACATTGATGAAATAAAGGAAACACAAATAAATGGAAAAACATCCTGTGTTCATGGATTGGAATACTTAAAAATCATCAAAATGTTCATACTACTCAAAATAATTTACAGATTCAATGCTATCTCCATCAAAGTACAAATGAATTGGTGTAGATCTGTTTATATTTTCTATTTCTTCCTGAATCAGTTTTCTTATTTGTATTGTATACGAATCTGTCCATTTCATTTAGGTTATCTGATGTATTGGTGTACAATTATTCATTGTATTGTCTTCGAATTTGTGCTTTTTTATATGGTTGATAGTAATGTCTATAATCTCTTTTCTGATTTTAGTTGCTTATATCTTCTCTCTTTTTTTGTCTTTCAGACTATCTTAAAGTTTTGTCATTTTTTTTTCTTTTCAAATATCCATCTTTTGGTTTTGCTAATTTTTATGATTTCTATCCTTTTGTTGATATTTTAATTTTTTGCATACATCATTTTCATTATTTCCTTTTGTTCTTTCCTATGGTTTCCTTTAGTTCATGAGCTTATTTAAAATCATGCATTTTAAGTCTTTGTCTAGTAAGCCCTATGTCTAGATTTCCTCTACTATCATTTCTGTTGATTTATTTTTTCTAGTTTCATTGTAAGCTTTATTGTTATTATTTTTTGTTTGTTTTTGAAAACTGGACATTTAATATTGTAAGGTAGCAACTCTGGAAATCATTTTATTCTTCTGTTTCTGGGTTTGCTCTTCTTGAGTGTTGAAGACTGCTGTAATTTATTTGTTAACTGACTTTTTAAAACTATTTTTTTGTAAAGAATGCATTCTTTGTTGTGTGTAGTTACTAAAGTGTCTGTTCCTTTAACTGGTGTTCAATAGTGTCTTGAGACAGATTTTCTTGAAAGTCAGGAACTAAATAAATCAGACACACAAAAAAAACATCTATCCTAGTCTTTTTGGATTTACTCTATGCTGAGGCAATATCTCAGCAGTTAACTAGCCTTTCTTCCTGCTTGCATTTAGCCTGGCATTAGATATAGGTCAAAGCTTTGCATCTTCCCATGTATTTTCTGAGCATATGTCCCATCCCAAGCATGCTTAAAGCTTTCTAAGTGCTCTGGTACATATACTTGCGTTTAAATGTCCTAATTTCCCAAAAAAACTTTCTCCCTGACTTTTCTTTCCAAGATTTAGGTTGTGCTTGCTTGTCTCAACTATAATATTTTGTCAGTCAGCTTTGTGTTTCTTGCTTATCTTATAGTAATTTTGAGCAATGCCCTCTGCTTTTCTGCCTTGAATGAGTTCAAAGTTAGGCAAAACAAAGACAAACTCCTTACAATCAATCCCTCAGGTATCCCTAAAGCAAGTTAGAACAGAAAAACATAAACGTTTGTGAATTATTAAGTCTGTTCTGCTCCATCTGAAGCAAGTACCGGGGTCCCTCACAAAAAATGCTGGCTATCTTCTTTAATACCACCTTGGAGTCAGAGAGGGAATGGAGCAAAGGCAAGTTAAAGTGCTTTATTGTTTTTTAGTGGACTTTGGCTTGATTCAGTGTTCACTTGATGGCTGTAAACCTTTGACTATTTTCCAGAGTTTTGACAACATTGCTTTTGATCGCTTTTGCTTGTTTTTTGATGTTTCTGTGATAGGCTGAGTATTTGGAGCTGCCTGTCTATTTGGCCAACATTACCCTTTTTAACTTTGATATGGACCCCAGACATCAAAGTTTACTCTTTTTCTTCTCCATGGAGCAAATTTTTTGTGCTTTCATCAAGGCTGAACCACAGATTATTTATTTAGAAATGAGGAGCTAGTGCTATATAATTGCCAAATTTTCATTTAGCTCTGAGTATTCATTCTTTTGTCATTCACCTGAATAGGTACCTACATTGTCAATTTATTTTGGATTTTAAGGCCAAATGTGTAAAAAATCAGTGCTAAGGAATTAGCTTTACCTTTTTTTTAATTTCATATTTTAAAAATGTGTGTATAAAGTCTCTGTATGGTATATGATTGTTAACAACATCTATATAGTTATGTGACAAATACAAAATTAATATAGAAAAGTGTTGGATCACCTTCTCTGAATGTTTCTTGTGTGAGTTTGTAGTCAACCCCTCCCCAACCTCCAATCCACGATAAAGACAAATCTAATTTTGTCCCCATATTGTACCTTTTCCAGAATGTCATATAAATGAAATTATAAGGTATATTGCCTTTTCAGTGTGGCTTCTCTCACTTGACATAATGCATTTGAGATTCATCCATATTATTGCATTTAACAGCATTTCATTCTTTTTTGTTGAGAAGTATTCTATTATACGGATTTACCAAAGTTATATACCTATTTATCATTTGGTGGACATCTGGATTGTTTTCAGTTTTTGGCAATTATGAATAAAACTACTATAAACATCTGAATAGTGCTCACATGTTATTTTTGTTTAAGCAATTGTGATAGGTGGGAAGTAATATCTCAGGTGGTTTCAACTGACACTTTCCTAATGTCTAATAATGTGAAATATTTTTTCCTGTGCTAATGTGTTATCTGTATATCATCTTTTCTAAAGTGCATTTTCAAATCTTTTATCAAGTTTTATTTTACTTAATTGTTTGAATTGCTCTTTGGCTGGGCACAGTGGCTCACACATGTAATCCCAGCGCTTTGGAAGGCCGAGGCAAGAGGATTGCCTGAGCCCAGGGGCTTGAGACTAGCCTGGACAACTTGTTGAGACATTGTCTCTACAATAACCCAAAAAATTAGCTGGGTAAGATGACGTGAAACTGTGTTTCCAGCCACTTGGAAGACTGAGGTGGAAAGTTAGCCTGAGCCCAGCAGGTCAAAATTGCAATGGCTATGAGTATGTCACTGTACTCCAGCCTGGGTGGAAGAGTTAAATTCCAACTCAAAAAGAAAAGAAAAACAAAGAAAGAAAAGAAAAAATGACTAAATTGATCTTTTAGTGTTCTTTATATATTTTATATACAAGCTAGATTTCTTGTGAGAAATGTGTTTCTGGCTTATAATTTTATTTTCTTAACAGTGTTTTTAAAAAAAACAGACTTTTAAAATTTTGTATATAGTACAATTAAATCTTTTTTCTTTCTTCTATAGATGGTTATATTGGTATTGTATTTAGAAAATATTTGATTACCCAAGGATTGCAAGGATTTTTCTTCCATATTTTTCCCCAAAATTTATAGCTTTAGTATTTACATTTAGATTTTTGGTTCACTTTGAATGAATAGGAGTTATTTTGAAATTTTTTTTTTACTTTTTAAAATTGTGAACTCATTAAAAATGAACCACCTTGTTTCAAAATGTATATATAGTTTCAGTGTCACAAGATCATGTTTTTAATTATTTTTATTTTTTTAAATTATTCTTTTTAATTGTAGAGACGAGGTCTCACGATATTGCCCAGGCTGGTCTCAAACCCGCGAGCTCTGGCAATCCTCTCACCTCAGTCTCCCAAAGTGTTGGGATTACAGGCTTGAGCCACCATGCCCGGCCATGATCACTTTATTTTTAACAACTGGTTGGTTTTTTTTTTTGTTGTTGTTGTTTTACCTGTTTTGCCAAATCAATAGTACCACATATTTCTCAAAGCAAAAAGTCACTATTATAGTGTATTTTTTATTTATCAGGTGGCAACATATGAATTCAACATTCAAGTTCAAATTAATTTCTTTGAAGCTTCAGAACTCTACACTAAATATTTGTCAAGTTCTTCGAATCCAAAGAAAACACCACTTATTCGACCTTGTTATGTTCAAGCTACTGGTATGTAATAAGAAAATGTCAATGGATGTGCGTGGATCAGAAATTTACTCTTGATCTTCTGAAAGTTAAAAGGCAGCATATGATATTTATTTTTCAATCATAAAAGTATTAGAAAGTAAAACTGTAATATGTTTTTTGAGTGTTTTTAAAATTATATCTATGAAATTGAATATTGGTTAAATAGCACAGGTATATGCAACTTGCTAGAAAATAGGAAAAAATTAAAAACAGGTCAATTTAGTACTTCATTTAATCAATTTTTAAATAATTAAGACAAGTAAACTACTAAAACAAAATGCACTGAAAATAAAATAATAACAATTTTATTTAAGGTAACATTTTTTTCAAAAAGATGGGTTATTAAAAGACCATGCATGAAAAGAAGAATAAGTATATCAAAACTTTGAATTATTTGGTGTATATTTATCTACTTACTTTCTCCAAATATTTAAGATTAAAAACTGATGTGCTCTGCAAATTGTAATTTTGAGAAACTTTACTTTCTATTACATGTGGTTAGGTATTTTTCATAAAATGTCAAAAAGTCTATATATTTTTATAGTTCTGATATTAAATTAGATTGTCATTAATTACAAAATAGTAGTATAATAATTAATAATTGCATTTGGCAGCTGGTAGGAGTGGTATCACTAAAATAGCATCTAGATTACCAATATTTGCTCCACTCTCATTTAAGGTCCAGAATTAGGAATGTCACAGCTAATATGAAGTCTCAATAAAGTTAAAGTTTTTTCTCTTGCTTTTTAAAACGTTTTTTTGAAAAGAAAATAACTGTTATGCAATTTTTTTTATGAATTAGGAGGATAACCTTTTAAAAATAAAGTGTACTTATTTGATAGCTAAAAATTAATAGAGAATTATAGAGGAAAACTTTAAAGACAAAGCTATCTGGAATGCCAATATTTAGAGAATTTTGATATCTTACTATTAATATTTTGATATCTTACTATTTTTGTTTTATACATTGCTCTTGGCAATTTAGTTTTTAATATGCTTGGGATCTTATGCTTATGTTATGTTGAAACTACCTCCGTTTAATCTTAATAGAAACTTTTACTCGGATGCTGTAGTCCTTTAATTTTATAAATTAACCCTGATAACTGTTGTCAAATATTTCATGAGGTAAGAGTATCTTCTAGATTATTTAAAATGTCCTCAGAAGCATTTAGCTTTATTTCTTTTACCTTCTTGTTAATATAAATATATTATAGTAGTGAACACTTTCGTGTATAATATTTTTTTCTGTTTAAAATGTTTTTGAAAAAAGAGATTCTCAGAATGGATTTATTAGTTCTGATGCATTTATATGTTAAAAATTCTTTATGAATTTTGTCAAAAGGCTTTTGTAAGAGCTGTACTATTTTACCTCCCTCTCAGTGTATACTATTAAAACAGTATTGAATTAAAGAAATTGGAGACCTTTCTATGTGGTTAAAAACAACATCATTTCAATTTTCTAAATTATTTATGTATTATATTTTAGATTCGGGCTCGTTCTGTCATGCTCACTGTAACCTAAAACTTTTGGGATCAGGCAATTCTCCTACCTTAGCCTCCTGAGTAGTTGGCATGCACTACCATATCTGACTAATTTTTAAATATTGTATAGAGAAGGGCTCTCATTATGTTATCCAGGCTGGCTCTGTGCTCCTGGTCTCAATCAATTCTCTTCTCTCGGCCTTTCCAAAGCACTGGGATTACAGACATTTGCCACTACACTCGGCCATTAATTTCTAATTTTCGATTGCTCATGAGGATAAAAATATCTTGTCTTGACTATTAATTATATATTTTTGTATAATTTATTTGTTAATATATTTCCCGTTTATCACTAAGGTTTTATATTTTCTGATAGATTTGAGTGGGCTCTCTTTATGTTATTTTCTTATATTTATTAAGACTGTTTTCCAAGACTTATTTCTCTTCAGTTTAATTCATTTTTCAATAGCGCTCTTTATTAACTTTATAGAAATCTAGCTCTCTTCCCTGTGATTTCCAACTTCATTTCAAAAATTAAAATGTTTTTCCTATTTAAAGGATTGGTAAAGATGTAATTCTAGGTGGGTTTTTTTTTTTCCTATTTTTAATGGCTTAAATATTGGTTATCAACTTATATAGTTAGTGAGTTATAACAGATATTATTGTACTTTCACAACCAGTTGAGATGCCAAAGGTGACTTAATTGTATCATATAGTTTAACTAAAATCAAAATTTACTAATGATTCAAGGGATACAAGTAAAATCTGGCATAGATGTAGCATTTCTTCCTGCAGAACCTAGGATCTGTCAGACACCCCTTTCAAATTGTCCTTTTCCCCCTCTAGAATTTTTTTTGGTTTTGAATTAGCATATGAGTTTTCAAATTTTTTATTCTATATATTTAAGACAGACAACATGATGTTTTGATGTATATATGGTATAGTGTAACAATTTCTACTCAAGCAAATAAACATGTCTATCATCTCACAATTACCTTGTTTTGTGACAAAATTATCTAAAATTTACTTTCTTAGGAAATTTTCAGTGTACAATACAATATCATTAGCAGTAGTCTCCATGCTGTACATTAGATCATTTTAAAGGACATTTGTAGAAATCCTCTTCTCAAAAACTTTGCCTTTTTTGGTGCTCCTCATTTTTGTATTATTAATAATTACATAGGTAGGAAATGCTTATATGGCAAGTTTTCACTCTTCACCAGCCTTGCTAATAAATTCATAAATTCCACATATTTTTGATAGGCCATCTAGACAGATAAGATATGTCAAGGGGTTTCTTTGTATAAGACATGTTCAATACCACTTCTGTTAACAAAAAGGACTGACAAATTCCATCATTTTATCAACTATTACCCAAGTAGAAGGGGCTAATTCACAAGACTGCTGTTATCTTTTTACTTAAAAATTATATGCATTCATTTTAAAATTAAAATAATGCAAACAAGGCTTATAACCCAGAACTGCAATCCATTATTCTTCTGCTATTTACAGTACATCCTGTACCATAGATGCAATGATTTTCCTCATAAGACACTATTTAATAGCAAGTGTTTTTGCTCACTTGCAACTCTAACTCACTTCTCCAATTTCCTAATATAATTATACCTTAAATTTTAATTAAAATTATATTCATAGTTTTAATTACTATAAAACCATATTGTTCATTTTAAAAAATTTATTTATTTATTAAAAAGATGTGGGATACAATTAAGGGTTAGATATATAAACACCGATCATGCAGGTACCCTTGTTGATGAGGTATGCCCCTCCCTCCCCTAGCAGTTTCCCTCAACTGCCA